TATAATATTTAAGAATTTTATAAAATTTCACATATGCATTTACATACTATGTATGTAATTTATAAAATCAAGTTTATAAATTAAATGGTATTTATGCTGTTTGAAACGGATTTGTAATATTGAGACATAAAATACAGAATATTCACGTTATTACTCCCCAAGGCTCTTCTTTTCGAAAACGGCAAGTGTGAGAAAAAAATGAAAAAGGAAAAAACTATTTTTTTACGTATATAATTTTTTCGCGTTAGCTCTATTTTGTGAGAAATGAAAAAATGATTTTTCTTTCGCGATGTCCGCCGCTCACAGACTAAGAAAATCTACCTTTGACAAATAGTGTGAATTAGGCTAAAAACTAAATCCACAGTCAACAGAAATTATTAATTTTAAATTATTAATTATAAATTATTAACTTCAGTAATTATTAATTTGAACCAAAATCAAGTGTTGTTAATGCTTTCATTAGATCACATGTAAATGACATGATCTGATCGTACCGTCGTCGCTAGTGTGAATCAGACTTAAATATTCGTCAATGGTGCGTCTGTGAATCGTGTCGTAAGCATGTCACGAGCTTGAAATCTCGAGGAAATGGAAAAATTTTCAGGAGTAAAAGACAAGAAATACTTTCTCAACAAATCTCGTTAACATTTAATAGCTTTATTATTTTCCACGATTGCTAATCGTTTAACACGCCGCTTTACCTTTCGTTTCTGTGAAGTATAGTTTACCATTCAGAAATAGATACTGAAATACTTGTTCCGTGGTATTTGTACTATCGAGGAGATGAGCAGTTGTAAAATGTTGAAGAGTCACAGTTAGAGAATCGTCTCTTTGTTAAAGTTTGGTCGCGTATAGAACAGAAATACACGACATCGAGGTTTTCAGGACCTGAGACAATGATCATGAAAATTTCATACTCTGAATATTTCATACTCTGAATAAAATTAAATATTTCTCATAGTAATCTCAATAATTTTTATGCTATGTTTAAAATTAATACTATATTACGAATAAAATCATTCGGTAATCGGCTATTCAGGATCGCGATACATTCGTAGAATCAAAAATGGTAAATGTCATCGAACATTTTCATTCGTATGTTGCCGTTGAAATGTCGTTTCACTCACGTGGGTGTATAATGTTACGGTGAACCAACAAAATTTGCCAGCTGTAAGTTTCAACGGTGATGCTCTCGCTCGGCACATAATGATTACCAATAATCTCGCGTCTTTGGGACGTAAATTATACCAGTCGCAATGGTATGCCGCGTTGGCTATGTCCGTGCTCTGAAAAATTGAACGAACGTTTAACTTGTTGGCAAACAGACGTCTAACATCCATATTTTTTTATCAGAAAGACATCGACTAAATTTTTCTTTCATGAACGATACCTCGAACGCAAGTTTCTCGCCCACGTGACAATATATGTACAACTGCATCATCACGCAAACTATATAGAAACACAAGAATGCAATTTGGAAAATCATGTATCGCTTTGCTTCCTCTCCAAATGACTATAAATTAAGTTATGTCAGAAAAGGATGTATTGCTTTGTAATATTTCTTTTATATACATATAAATTTAGAGAAGGACGTATGACTTTTTTCGTACCATGATGGCTTGAAAAGACTGGAAACATAGTTGAACGATGCAACCGAGCATTTGAATCAGAAGCATCACGTTGAAACAATTCTCTACCGTTCCCGCGAACCTTAGAGTTACATACGGAATGATTAATAAAAAATCTTAGTTTTCACAAAATTCACTTTTTAGCCAATTAAAAATAGAATTAGGTCTATATGCATGAATTAATAAACTTTGAATAACAATAAGTAAGTAACAATGATTTCGAGATAATAATTTTGAACAATGATTATTAAATTTAAAATATAAAAGAAACAATAAATTAAATTTCAAACATGTTAAAACACATTGGAATTATTAATAATTATTGTATTCGTGTCTAAATAAATAAAATATATCGAGATAATAAT